GGAAGAGCGCAATGATGGTACCAACTTGGGCCAGTGAAGCAACGTCCTCTACAACTAAACTGAAGAACAAAACGACAGCAACATGTCTGTTCCCCTTCCCCCAATTCCCCAGCACCGTTCCCATCCCCCCAATTCCCCAATAAAAAAAAATCTAAAAAAAAAAAAAAGAACCACAGCAGCATTATGGCCCCCCTTTCAGGCACCGTTCTGTTTCCTGTCTGCTTCCATAAAGAATCTCAGCTCTTACTCCTTTACAGTAGGGGCCGGCAAACCAGTCCATGGGTCAGATGTGGTCCACGGCCTGTTTTTGTAAATAAAATTTTATTGCAAAACAGCCATACCCATTCATATTGTCAGTGGTTGCTTTCCCACTACAAGGGCTGAGTAGTTGTGGCAGAGTAGAATAGTTGCTACAGAGGCTGTGGCCTGCACAGGCTAAAATATTTACTTTCTGGCCCTTTATAGAAGAAGTTTGCCAGTCCGTGCTTTACGCTATTATTTTGTTGTCCATTCTAGCTCATGACATGGGCTTCAGTGCTGATTAACTCTCAGCTCAACAAAACTGTGCATTTATATCCGTGTTCACCAAAGATCCAGCATGTTTCCATGTAAAGTATAGCAAGGGACTCATTCTAAACCTTTCTAAATGGTCAATGAAGTGAGATAAAGAAGCTAAAGGTACCCAGAAACAGTAATGTCCTATGATTCTGACCCTGAACTAAAGAATTACAATGGATCACCTCAAGTCATACTGCCTGGAAAACTCGACTGCTCCAGGCCTGACCAAACTCTTTATTTAGACTCAGGACTCTCCAACACGCTTCCCTTTTCTCTTGATTCATTTCCTGACAACATACCACACTGCCAGATGGACACCCTGAATGAATGTCTCAGGAAATGCACTTCCAAAGAAGGCATCTATGAAATAAAACCTTTATCTGGTACGTGTATTTATGTATTGATAATTTTCTTAACGGCAACCAGTCAGCCTGTTGCATCAATGCAGAACTATTCCTAATAGTAGAAAACATTATTTCTTTTAACTTTTTTTAAACGAGAAGAGTACCTTCCTTTTGTACTATGCTTATGAGTCCATTGGAACCCAAGTGATGAGGGAGAACTTTGCAAGAGGTCAGGGTTAACATGGCTCTGGGAAGTCCATTTTACATAAAACATGGTTCCTGGAGAAGTACCTGGAACAAAACCCAAATCATGTGCTGCATTTTCAGCCAGGACCAGTTGATCCTGAACTCTGAATATGGCTTGGTGTAGAGTTCATAAAGGTATGCAACCTTTATCATGCTAGGAACCATAATCGTATTCTGAAACTAAATCATATTGCTTTCTAACATCACTGTACTCCCTAAAGTTCTGAAGTTGTAAAAATAGACCAAAGTTACAATCCAGAACAAGTTACCAGCTCTTGGCATCCAGGCTGGAGGATATCAAGCAGGGTCAAGTTGCCTGAAACACTGAAGGACTCATGGCCATGACCTAGTGGCTACCTTACTAATTCAGTTCAGCCAGCATTTATCAGATACCCATAGGGTCAAGGTAAAGTACCAGATATTGGGGATAGAGAAATGGGTAAGCAACATGTAGGCCTGCCCTCAAGGAGCTAATAATCTCGTAGGAAAGGAAATTAGTCCACTACCAGGTAGTATAACTATGAAGTCAAAGGCGTTAAAGGGAATGGAGGTAGAATTCATTGCTGGCACTCATTTGAGCCAGCAAGAATAAAATGGTGTTCTCCTCCTCCCCTTTTTCCTGTCATCTGATATGGGCCTAAACACTGGGAACATCCCAACTGAGGAACCAGCACCCATTTCTCTCTCTTTTCCCTGATTTGAGGAAGGTCGTGAATACCTTGACCATGATGACATGGTCAAACGTGTAGTTTTTATACTCCTAAGAGATGTCTGACTCACTTAGGAAAATTCAGAAGGAAGGAAAAGTCACACTTAAAAAAAACCTTTAAATGTAGACTAGAAGTTTTGAGCCGTAAACTTGAGTTCTAAATGATTTCTGTTGGAATAATAGAGCTCCATACTTCCTCATCCTAGACTAGTAGTTTTCACATTGTTGCGAGGAGTTTTCGTTTTCTTGGAGCCCCTGAGCGTGGTGGTGTTGGTGGGTGTGGGCGGTCATGATGTGGAGGATCTCTCACAGTTCTGCTTTGATTTGCTCTAAATACTGGGATTTCATAGAAGATGGTTTTTGGAAATGTCCCATTGCGAAAGTCCAAGTTCGAAAACCAAAATTTCATTTCGAAGACCCCGGAGATAAAAGGAAATTGCATGCCCAGGGCATGCTAGGTATGGCCAGAGGGCCCCGATTATACATCTGTCCAATTATAAATATTATAGAAAACGTTCTCATTGGAACCTGCTTTTCAAAAATGAATAAATGCATACAGATGTAGGATGCTGTACAGCAAAGGCCAGTGGGTCTTTGGCCATTGACTCTCAGAGCTGCTGATACCTGTTGAATTAAGAGAAAGTTGAAGGCTTCTCCCTGGATCTGGCCCTGTGGCTTGCCCGTTAGTAGGACGTACCTTCTCTCCCCCACTCCCCCCCCACCGCCTTGTTTTTCTTCCTGTTTCCTCAAATGCCCCCAGTCCCATCATGGGTATACTCAGCTTCTGCCAGACAGAAGAAATTCTTCCAAGAGGATGGAATCTAGATTCTGTGATGGCCTACTTGCATTTGGGGTGCAGACTTTTAGCACACAAAGGCAGCTGCTGTTTATGTTTTGGCGTGTTGATTGTCAAGTCCAGAGTGAAGAGTTTCTGAGATTTGGGGGACATTAGCTTGCGGTTCTACAGTTGCCCTTGAAAACAATGTTTGATTTGTCAGATTTCTATGCTGTGCCAGCTTTCATCCAGTTTTACCACGTAATCTCCATGGATTCTATAAGTGATGTCTTCTGGGTCATGTTATCTGTTTACACTGATTTAAGTGTATGTAAAGGGTTATTTGACTAGATGTGTCTTTTGGGTTCTTTTGTTTCTGTTTTTTTTTTTGTTTTTTGTTTTTTCAGAGGGGAATAAATGAATTGTCATCTCAACATTTGTTTGGTAAAAGAAGCAAATTGGTATGAAACTGTATTTATATGCATGATTTTTTTTCCTTTCTGATATCTCTGCCTCTTCCTCTCTCTATTATTAAAGGAAGAAATACCCCTGGGAAGCCAATGAGAGAGGTTAGTGAGATTCAGGCTCACAGCCATGGCTTCTGTCTGTCTCATCCTGCTTTCTATGTTTGGCGTTTGTGTAAGAATTGTGTGCGTGCACGCGCATGTTTGTATTACACGTGTCATCATGTAAGGACGGTAGTCACCTCTCCACTTGCAGCTCATGAGGAATATTCCTCAAATGTTCACTGCCATTGTCATCACCATGACGACAGGACCAAGGGTTGGGGGAGCAGGAATCACTTTAAAATGGCAACCCTTTGTAGTCCCTGGGTTGGAATCCTGCAGTTCATCATCTGTTGCCATTTACAACACAAACAAAATCTTCAAAATAAATTTAGCCTTGAGCATAATTGATGAGTCATAAAGCTTCTTTCCACTTCAAGGACCCTAGCATTTTGTGCCAGTGCCCTTGGTTTTTATTTTTGTGGGATGACTTCATTTCATTTTGTTCTTTTTTTCCTGGTTCCTACACGCTTTCTTTTCCCACTTTAGCTAATATTTTTTGAGCACTTACTGTGTACCAAGCACTGTTCTAAGGACCTGCCATCTTTTTCATTATGTACTCTTCATGACAAACCTATGAGGTAGGTATGCCTATTAAGCCCATTTTACAGATGAGGAATCTCAGTCAGTGAAAGGGGCAGCTGTGTGTCCAAGGTGACAGAGCCAGGGTTTGAATCCAGGCAGTCGGGGTCCAATGCCACATTCTTAACTCTTATGCTTTACTGCCACTTTACAAAATGGTGTTTGAAAGGCTTACGTCATCTCAACGTGACCCTTAGAGGATGCCTTTTTTTAATCATTTGGAGCCAGATAGAACATTAACCCATCAGGGAAGAAAATTGAATGTTGGGAGTCTTGAGAGGTTTTTTTAATGCCTCTATGGGTTCAAAGGAGGTTAGGTACAGCATTATCAATGAATGTGATTTAGGGTGTTATAGTGAAAGTTGCTCCATACTTCAACCAGCAATATTATCTGAACCTTGAATTACCTAATCAAATCACTGGTGGATGACAAAGTGTTCAGTGATATCCCAAGTGAAACAACATTGTCCTTACCAAGAGCGTAGTGTGAAGGACGTGAGAAGGAAAGCTCTCTCATGGACAGCGATAGCATGTACTAATCCGGGAGACAGGTTGGACGGGTGGAGAGTCCTTCTGTGAGAAGGTTCTGGATCCTTAGCAACAGGATGGACAAGAGTAGTCATAGATTCATTTACACATAAGGAGTCATACTCGAAATTCTGCCAATGCCATGCCATGCCTGTCTAATGAATTTAATGATCCGCCAGTGCTCCCTTCCAAGGCTTGGGGCAGTGGGGTCCCAGGGAGACTTCTTGGGTTCATTATAATGGTAAGTGCCCCTTACAATGTATTTTAACTTGTAAAAAGTTGCACCATAGTTTTGACCACCATGAACATGTTTTCTCTCATGAACACATTCTAGAAAACACTAGCACGTATCATTGAAGTCCTATAGGCATTTGGAAACTTTACGACCTGAGGTGCACTGTAGCCAGATAAGTTTCCAGAAAGCCAGAGAATCAAAATAATAGTGATATGTGTAATGCTATGAAAATACCCCAAATGTACAGTAGGCCCGATATTTTTTTCCCAAAGATGAAATTAGAGTGAAGAAAAGATAAGCAAATTTCACTGCAATATTCCGGCTTGGCTTTGGCCAGTTAAATGCTCACCATTTATTTGAGAATTGTATTTATAAAAAAAAATACAGGGCCAGATTGCTGTAGAAGTCTTGGATCACTGCCAGCGAGTCTCAGTTCCAATCACTGCGGAAAACAGCTCCCTCAGGCAGTGGTGGCATGTGAGACTAAATGTGTGTTGCAGTTAGCACCAACTTGGAAAAACATACAAGTGCCCTAATGTTCAATGCACGGTGCCTTTGTGTTCAACAGTCCTTGCTTAAGAATGGATTAAATGGATGCTTTCTATAGGCGCATTTCTGTGTCAACTTGCGCCTGAAGCTGGCTGCTGGTGCCTGAATCCTGCCGGCTTTTCAGTGCCTCCCGCGCTTGGAGTATAAGATTTTCATTTTGACTTTAGGGACATCTGTCAGGTAAAAGGAAGGGCCTCGCTAATGTTCTGCCTGACACACATGGACAGCAGCATCAGGGTACAAATCTATTTTCTGTATCACAGTTGCAGTTTTTATGCCTCCAATGGAAAAGATACTTTGGGGCAGAGATAGAATTTTGTCAGCGATAGAATTTTTTTTCTGGCTCTAAATGAAAACCTCCATGAAAAATACCAGAAGCAGTATTCTGGTGAAACAGGTAATTATAAAGAAAGCAAGGTTTGCATAATATAGATATGGTGACTGAACGTTCATTTTTCTAGCACAGGGACAGCCATGAGGTCATTTGTGAACATCAACAAGCTAAACAGGTTACAGGCCTCCAAACATTTTGTGGGAGTATGTATGGTATATTAAGAATAATGAACCTCTATTTTACCTGGTAACTTTTTAAATAGCAGACACCCCTAGAACGTATGCCTCTTGAGAGACTCAAGAGTTTTCCATTCAAGTAGTAACTACACCATTTCAAGGAGTAGCCCCACCACGTGATTATATACAGTAAGTCCTCATTCAACATTGTCGATAAGCTCTGAGACTTTAAGTGGACCAATATAACGACACCACTTTTACTATACGCTAATTGATATAAACAAGAGTTAGGTTCCTACGGCATCTCATCAACATTATAACGAAACGATGATGAACGAAATGATGTTATCCAAGGACCTGCTATAATCTATAAATCCACTGACTTGTCTTTATTATCTTTAGAACTGCAGTCCACATGCCCTAGTGCACAGTCTAAAATACACACGTTTTGATTATTAACAGTAAGCCAATGGGGAAAAAATGAGTTCTTCGCCATTTTATGTTTCGTAATACATATTCTAATGACCAGGTGAACTATACTATACTGTAGTCAGATGTGGGTAATGACAAATAGATGGAATTCTATTCAGGTATCAGGTTGTAAGAGTCTTGGGTTTTGTTTTTACTGGCCTCATTAATTGCTGTTGAGATTTGCACGTAATTAAAAATGTTCATATAGTCCATCGATTTTTAGTTATTCATGAATAATTGTGCAGCTTTCCCAGGGTTGCTGGGCAGTCAAATATAGATACAAGCGAAGCCCTGTAACCTGGTGGCATCGGTTATATATTTGTACTCTAAGCTCTAAGAAGCAGCAAAGGACCCACTATGTCTTCCTATGGTTTTTATGGTTTAGAAAAATCAAACCCTTACTTCCACTGAGGGCTGCCAAACAATTGGCCCGTTCTATGTAAGAAATACATATCCTTTGTTAAATGTTTCTATATTTGCAGTCTCCACCAAAATCCAAAGTGCTTTTTAAAAACGTAATTAGTACTCACTGAAACTCTTTGCACTCATAAAGCTCAAAGAGATTTACAAACTTGGTCACTTTAATATAAATGGCTGAATGGCATTAAACTTTTAATAAGTCTTAATTGTATCTGGTGCCATCACTGTTTAAGTGCCTGCTTGTGAATCCTCTTCAGATCTGCTCTCTCGTATATATAAAAACGATATGTCTCTTGAAATAAATATTAGAACAGAATACCTGCCCTAGTCTATCTTTAATTTTTATAGGGACTTTAACAATTATTATGGGAATCTGTAAAGTTGATTCATGGCAAGGTAGTAATAGCCTAGTAAAGCATTTTTAGTTCCATAGGCAGTACTTCAATAGTGGAATGATTTACTAATGTCCACGAATTAAAATTAGCCATATAAAAATATGGGACATATATGAAAAGGCAGAGTCATACAGTATGTCTCTAATTATCTCTCACTAGATCTGAATTTTGCCACAAAGTACCCAGGGACATTGATTGTGCTGCCTTTGCGCTCCATGCTGGGGGATTAATGCTAGGTCACGTCACATTATTATTAAAAGGCTATTCTGATAGTTAACCCCCATTTAGAAGGAGATCAAAAATGGACTCGCAGGGTACCCAAATCCATGCTAAACATGTGGGTCATGTTATAATTAGGCTCTAGAGTAATTTGGAATGAGAAGTGATTTTTATTCTTCAGCTTCCTAATTCAAACGTTAATAGCATACCAAGAGGTCCATTTAGGAGTTTATTTTTCAACCAGAGTAAAAGCAGAAAGCAAATAGTCTGCGAAGTGAGCCTACAGTTTGAAACAGCCTTGAAAGGACAGTTTCTTGGTGTGGTGATGGTAGTAGTGGTGATAACCGTGATGGCAATTAGAGTGCCAATGGTGGCAGTGATCATTATGGTGATGGGTTTTTGGTTTTCGTTTGTTTTTAAAAATTTTATTGGGGAACAGTGTGTTTTTCCAGGACCCATCAGCTCCCAATCAAGTCGTTTTTTCTTTTTCTTTTTTTTTAGCTGAGCCATCCTGCCACCTGTTGGCAGCTCAGCGGCTGCTCAGCTCGGGCTGGACTCGAACCGCTGTTGCTCAGAGCTCAAACTCTTGAGCGAGCTCTTAACCAACTGAGCCACTCGGCCGGCCCCTCAAGTCGTTTTTTCAATTCAATCTAGTTGTTGAGGGCGCAGCTCCTTGGCCCATGTGCAAATTGACCTGGCAACCTTGGTGTTATGAGCCTGCGCTCTAACCAAGTGAGCTAACCGGTCACCCCTGGTGATGGTTTTTTGATAGTAAAAAATTTTAGTCCAAGTATAGAGTAAATAATCTTCCACAACAAGGTGGAAAGGTGCATCCCATCATGAAATATTCCTGTGGTGACAGGAATCTTGTGCTTATCCATGGAATCCTTTGAATCTATATTTACATTGGGAAGACGAGTGCAGTCTTGGACATTTTTCCATGTAAATGACACCAATAAGCCTGATCCAATATTAAGCTGATACTAACAACGTGGAATGGCTTCATTAACAAGGCTTTGCTCCGTCCTGGAAACTGGTGAAAAATCAAACTCTGTTGCATATTCCCGCAGTGCAGCTTCTGTGTTGTCCTCACCAAGAAATGGGGAACAGTTTCCCAAATGGCATAAAGGCAGGGGTATGATACCTGCACCCTGTGTAAACTTTCTCTTCTTGTTTTCCAGGACACAATGTAGGAAGCCTTTTCCACTTGGCAGATGATTTGGGCCGAGCGATGGAGTCCTTAGTTTCAGTCATGACAGATGAAGAAGGAGCAGAATAAATGTTTTACAACTCCTGATTCCCGCATGGTTTTTATAATATTCATACAACAAAGAGGATTAGACAGTAAGAGTTTACAAGAAAAAAAAATCTATATTTTTGTGAAGGGTAGTGGTACTATACTGTAGATTTCAGTAGTTTCTAAGTCTGTTATTGTTTTGTTAACAATGGCAGGTTTTACACGTCTATGCAATTGTACAAAAAAAAGTTATAAGAAAACTACATGTAAAATCTTGATAGCTAAATAACTTGCCATTTCTTTATATGGAACGCATTTTGGGTTGTTTAAAAATTTATAACAGTTATAAAGAAAGATTGTAAACTAAAGTGTGCTTTATAAAAAAAAGTTGTTTATAAAAACCCCTAAAAACAAACACATGCGCACACACACACACACACACACACACACACACACACACACACACTTTGAGGCAGCGCATTGTTTTGCATCCTTTTAGCGTGATATCCACACGAAATTCATGGCTTTTCTTTTCTTGCATATTAAAGATAGGATTTCCTCTAACACCACCAAATGACTTCACGTTGCTCTTTTTGGAATTGTTGACTGAGTGGAACTAGCTGTGGGTTTTCATGTTACATCTATATGTCTATAAGTATGTCGATACTATAGGTATATAGATAAATAGATCGAAATTTCAAGAGACCTTTTCAATTCCTTGTTCAAATGTTCCTGACACTTGCTATTGGAAAGAAATTGCTTCCGGTCATCCTGGCTTAGCCACTTGGTCTGGAATGACTTTTCCCTGGAGACTGAAGCCAGAGGGAAACTACTACATGAAAACATTGTCTGAGGCTCCAGATGTTTCTTACTTGAACGTTTCCAATGACAACTAGAGGATTGCTTTTTTTTTTCCAAAAGGAACATATGAATGAGTGAGTACGCGGGACTTATTATGTCAGAAAAATCCATTGGTTGATATAGTCAGCTTTCTGCTGTTGACCATGCCACGATTTAGATTTCATGATGCTTCAGTGGAAGTCAGCAGCAGAAGGCATCATAAACTCCCAGAGACGAGGAGGGTTCTGGGTTCCCAGCCGATCCCTCTGAGGGAGTAGGCCACTCTTGAATGGCCAAAGGATCGGATGAATGTTCATAACCATACATAGAGATCTTTATAATTACAATGAAATGATTCTTCCCTCTTCTCACAATCAAACAGAAGTTGGGTATCTTGGTTTTTCTTTGTTGTTTTCTTTAAGATATTTTTTCCCATTGCAGTGAGTTTTTAAAATGCCACAAGACTTACTTTAAAACAACCCTTGGGAAATGTAAGACAAGTAGCCCCATCACACTGTGATACTGTTAAATATCCACCCAGAATTTCATGAACTCTGCTTCCTTCCTTCACATTTCTCTACAAGTAGTAATTCCACACAGGCTTGTAAGTGGGAATGCAGATTGATTCAAATATTCCAAAAGGTACTCCCAACCCTGTGTGGTGGATTAGGCAGGTTAAATCTATGAACAAACAAACATTGTTCAAAAAGAGGAGAAAAACTCAAGAGGACTAACGTAGGAAAAAGCTTTACTCTTTCATTTCATCTTAGTGTGATTTTTAAAAATCATTCAATAGAAATCACCGTGTGACCTATTATTTTGCAAATCTGTTACCTCTTACATCAAGTGTAATTAACTTTGGGAGAGTGGGTTTTGTCCATTATTTTATTAATGATAATTAACATCAAACATGGCTTCTCATGCTATTTCTACCTCACTTTGGTTTTGGGGTGTTCCTAATAATTGTGCACACCTGATTTCACAGCTTCACCACTTGTCCATTGTGTGAACATTTTTCTCCATTTTCTTTTTCTTTTTTTAATTTCCAAAAGAAAACCCAAAGCTCTAAGGTAACAAATTACATGAAGATTTTATTTCTGTCTTGCATTTTTTTCCTTTATGTGACTCTGGACTTTTTTCTTTATCTGAGGATTTTTTTTGAACCATGATTTAAAACAAGGGGTTCCCTCCTACTAAGAAGTTTAAGTTTCATTCTAAAATCAGAGATAAGTAGAGTGCATAATTTTGTTTTAATCTTTTGTTTTATCTTTTAGACATTAGTTCTGGAGTGAGTCTGTCAAAATATATGAATAAAAATTGAGAGCTTTATTGCTACGTTTTAAGCATAATTTGGACATTATTTCGTGTTCTTTATAACCACCGAGTATTAAACTGTAAATCATAATCAATGTAACTGAAGCATAAACATCACATGGCATGTTATCTCATTGTTTTCAGGTACTGGGTTCTTACTTGAGTATCATAATATATTGTGTTTTAACACCAACACTGTAACATTTACTAATTATTTTTTTAAACTTCAGTTTTACTGCATTTTCACAACATATCAGACTTCACCAAATATATGCCTTACTATTGTATTATATTACTGCTTTACTGTGTATCTCAATAAAGCACGCAGTTATGTTACAAAAAAAAGTGTTGACTTTAGTATTCTTTTTGTTTGAATAGGTAATTAATTCATATGGTTGAAAAATCTAGAAAGGCAAACAGTGAAAAGGCCTCAACCACCCTATTCCCACATCATCTTCACTAACCTATGAGTAAATATTATTTCTTATGTGTCCTTCCAAAGTATCTTTATTATTATATAAGCAATTACAAATATGTTCCTGTATTTTCCTTTTATTACATAGACGATAGATTTCTGTACATCTAATTATATACCTTGTTTTTTAAAACTCAAGAGAGGACTTGAGATCCATTCTTATATTGAAATGGATTTTTCCATTTCAATGCTTTCTCATTTTTTAATTTTTCAATTACAGTTGACATACAATATTATTGGGTTGTCGGAAAAGTCATGACGTATTTTTTTCTATCTTGTTTATTGCAAAAATGAGTCATGACTTTTCCGACAAACCAATAGTTTTATGGTGTACATTAGTGATTAGACATTTATATGTGCCTTATGATCACCCTGATAAGTCTAGTACCCACCTGGCACCATAGTTACTACAATATTGTTGACTATATTCTGTAGGCTGTACTTTACATCCCATGACTATTCCGTAACTGACAATTTGCATATCTTAATGCCTTTTTCCCCCTTCTCCAACCACCCTCCCATCTGGCAACCTCAGTTTATTCTCTGCATCTATGAGTTTGTTTCTGTTTTGGTTTTTAGATTCCACATATAAGTAACATCATATAGTATTTGTCTTTCTCTGACTCATTTCACTTAGTATAATACTCTCTAGGTCCATCCATGTTGTCCCAAATGGCAAGATTTCACTCTTTATGGCTGAGTAATAGTCCATTGTGTCATTTTTTTTATATATAGCTGCATAATATTCCAGTGTATGTTTGTGGGATATTTAAGCAGTCCCCTTTGGTGGGATATGTGGGTTGTTTTCAGTTTTTGCTATGACAAACAGTACCACACATCTCTCATTTCATTATTTCACTTGTGTGAAAATATAGTATCTGTGGAACACATTCCTAGAAGTGAGATTTCTGGGTCAAAGGTGGGAAACACCTATAGCTTGGAAGATCATTTTTTGTGCAGCAATTGTCATAGTGTTTATTTTGTTGTTTTAGTAATGACAAGTATATGAATTAGCCAGTTTGCAATTTATACTTTGCTTCTTAAGAGAATTTCATATCTGCGACAACATGGATGGACCTAGAGGGTATTACGCTAAGTGAAATAAGACAAATGCCATATGATATCACTCATACCAGGGGTGTCAAAGAAAAATATACAAGTGGACGCTTGGGTCAACGTTGCTCAAGCAATAGTTCACTCTAATCAGAAGTATCAATGCTGATGATAACCGCTTTCAGCACCTCTTGTAATTGCAGAAGTCAAATGTGACTTGTATTCATCTTTTGTTATCGGTATATATTGAGTATTACAATTTTAATACAGTTTTCCTTTCTTAAAATGTGTATACATTTTTTTGGAACCCTCTATGTGGGATCTAAAGAACAAAATAAACAAAAAAACTGGAGCAGACTCAGATACAGAGAACAAACTGATGGTTACCAGATGGGAAGGGGTTGGGGGGGGGGCTGGGTGAAAAAGGTGAAGGGATTAAGAAATAGAAATTGGTAATTACAAAATAGTCATGGGGATGTCAAGTACAGCATAGGGAATATAGTCAATAATATGGTAATAACTATGTATAGTGCCAGGTGGGTACTAGACTAGTCAGGGGGATCACTTCATAAATTATATAAATGTCTAACCACTGCTGTATACCTGAAACTAATATGAAATAATATTGAATGTCAACTGTAATTAAACAAATAAAAGATAAATATTGTATACCACTTCTATTGTTCATGGTACCAGACCTAAAGGGGAGTCTAGTAGTAATCTCACCTAAAAAGAATCCACAGAACTGGGTCTGGGGAGGACACCCCTACCATACATAGGCAGAACCACCACCAGAGGGACTCCCCTCCCCCCATCCCATCCGACTCTGCTTCTGCCTTAGCTGCAAAGGAGGCTAGGAAAAAGTAGCGATGTCTGCTCTAGGGAGACGCTGTCTGCCTCCCACCAAGATGCATGGTGAGTTCCCAGCAGGGTTCGGATACTAGGGACCCAAAGAAATTCTAAAAGTCCACTAGCTACAGCCTATTCCAGTGATTTTGGAAGTAACAGATCGTCAAGCTTATTAAGGATGATGCTGAATGAGTGTGGCATCTCTGACATGAATCACTTGCTAAGTTTTTGAAGGGTGGGGTAATGATGCCAACCTCAGTGAGTATTACATGGAAAGATTGCCCTTGAATTCCACACATACCAAGACTAATTTTCATCCTATTTACATGAACACATCATTTGTCCCTCCTGCCATTCCCCAAACCTGCCCTTGTTTGAAACAACAGATTGGCTGTTTGGATGGCACTCAACTAGGGAACTGAGGAATTTTGAACACTTCACCATGACTAAGATAACTGTGTGTGGATGAGTCTGAGGAGGGCATTTGGCTTTCCATTCCACACCTGGCATGGGCTGGAGAGGAGGGAATTACTTCAGTGAAAAATTAAAACAGATCAAGCTGGCGCAGATTGTGCACCAGCAAGCAAAATGTGTGTTTGGGAGAAAGCATCAGGACTAATGGATGTGTTCTGCGAAGCCGATGGGATTTCCCTGAATTGGTAATGCTCTGACGGTGGAATGAATACAAAGGCAAGCACTGGCGCGCTTGCAAAGACTGCCCTCCAATTAGTGTAGGAAGGACATGAATTGAATTCTTTTGCACAGCAGCAAAGCCACTAGAGTGGGAGCCACAAACATTCTCCATTGCAACTTGGACTTCAGAATGCTGCTATCTCATGGACTTGACAACACGAGAGCAGCTGAGAACAGCAGCATGCCATCCACCCCATAATAAACAATATCATGTGAGTGTGTGAAGTTGGCGGATGTTTGAGAGTGGCTTTTGTGTACAGAAAAGATGATGTACAGTAACTTGAGGCTTAAATTCTATACATATGAGCATACAGACCTATATGTGTATACATATATATATGATAAATTTTTAGCTCTTTCATAACTTATTTTGAAGTAATTCAAACTTACAGAAAAGTTGCAAGAATAGTACAAAGAACCCCCATACACACTTTACCCAGATTCAACAATTGTTTATATTTTGCCCCTCTCCCTCTCATCATTCTATCTTGAACCATCTTGAGAGTAACTTTCAGACATTGAGCCCTTTGACACTTAAAGACTTCATGTCTGCTTCCTAAGAACTGGGACATTCTCTTGCATGGCCACATGACCATTATCAAAATAAATTTAACATACAAAAGTACTCCACAACCCATATATAAATGTCAATCATGCAATACTGTTTTCTAAAGTTATATGTGTTTTCCTGGTTTGGTCTAGGATCTAATTCACGATCTCATCACATTTGCTCATGACTCTTTAATCTCCTTTGATCTGAAAGTTTCTCTGCTTTTCTCTGTCTTCAAAGGCCTTCACATTTTTTAAGAGTAAAAGTCAGTTACTTTGTAGAATATGCCTCAATTTGGCTTTGATGTGTCTTCGTGATGAGATTCATGGTATGTGTTTTTGGCAGGAATATGATACAAGTAATGATGTGTCCTCAGCACAATCATAGCCAGAGGAATGTAGTGATGATCTGTCCCATTCTTGGTGATGCTAACTTTGATGACTTGGTGAAGGTGGTATCTCTAAGTTTCTCCACTTGCTATATACACTTTAAAACATAATTCTTCTTTTTTTTTTTTTTTACATTGGGGAACTGTGTTTTTCCAGGACCCATCAGCTCCAAGTCAAGTAGTTGTTTCGATCTAGTTGTGGAGGGCATGGAGATCGAACCGGCAACCTTGGTGTTATGAGCACTGCACTCTAACCAACTGAGCTAACCAACCGCCCTGACTCCAAGTCGAGTAGTTGTTTCAATCTAGTTGTGCAGGGTGCAGCTCAGTGGCCCATGTGGGGATCAAACCGGCAACCTTGGTGTTATGAGCACTGCGCTCTAACCAACTGAGCTAACTGGCCGCCCCAAAACATAATTATTCTTAAACCTTTGGGTTCAATTACAAATCTTATTATTTTCAAATGTATAATGTAGATAATTTGTAAAAAAAAAAAAAAAAGGCAAGAACAGCCACTTTCTGAAAGTTCCAGTTAGAGATGGCAACATAGGAGGCTCCTGAACTCACTTCCTCCCACAGACACACTGAATCTACCATTACATACAGAACAATTCCCCCTGAAAGAAACCCATAAGCCAGCTAAGTGACTCCTGCACATATGGGCAAACAAGAAAAAAACACATGAAATGGGTAGGAGAGGCTGAGACACAATGCCAACATAAACCCTATCCCTGGCATGGCAACACACATCCTGGAAATAACTCACAACCCTCAGGTTCTCCCTGAGGAGTGAAGGGTTTGGACCCCACATCTGGCACCCCAACTTTTAAGACTTCCACCAGAGACATGGGCTCTGAAAACATCTAGCTTTTGAAAGCCAATATGGCTTGCGTCCACAAGACCCATAAGGATGTGGTGAACTATGAGACACTTCTTTTTTTTTAAAGATCTTTATTGGGGAATTGGGGGGATGGGAACAGCGCTGGGGAATTGGGGGAAGGAGAACAGACAAGTTGCTGTCCTTTTGTTCTTTCGCCATCACCATACCAACTTCATTCACATAGGAGCTAACCAGTATGGCACACCTCTTGGTTACAAGGCCAA